GATCACATCGGTCAATCGTCTAATTTTCTGACAATTTTGTTCCCCAATAATTGATAGATAAGATTTATCATACATATATTAAACAAGCTTATATTTTTGAAAAACATTAAAATCTAACGTGCATGTGGTGCGCATAAATCTACCGTACACAATATGTATTGTAATGAAGTATAGAAAAATAAAAGAATAAAATAATAAATTAAACGAGTTCAACAACAAGATCGAAATGGATCGATCGGGTTCAAAATCGAAAAGAGCCGATTCACCCGGTAAGCTTTGCATACAAGAGTAAGGAAAAAAGGTTTAGTATGGTTTAAGTCCTTTCGATATGTTAATACAAATTTGTTTGGTTTAAACTTTAAACGCATATATATATTGACTACGTCTAAAAGTGTGTAAAACATAGCACACAAGTATTTTTTGCCCTCACAAATCAAATTATACAAAACACACATATGTGTATACAAATAAGGTTTACTTGCTCCTCCTTTTTGGATTGGGTTTCACCTTCTAGTAGATATTTTTTGCACTCTCTCTCTCAACAAAGACCACATATCAAAATATATTTACGTACTCAAAAATATTTATAAAATTCTGAGAAAACGAAATGAGAACTTTATTTTTTTAAAAAAAGAAAAAAAATGGCATATGCAAAGAGAAACGACGAATTTGGACGTAATCTTCAACGATACATATGAAATAAGAATCAAAACATATGCTTTTGGGCCCCACTTTGCATTTCAAGTTTATCATCTTCCTTGTCCAAACGCTAAACTCCAAGATTATTAGTTAATTAAAAAGACCATTTTGTTTCACTCGTATCTCTGTCGATTTGGATTCTCTAATCCAAGCTCACGAGACCATTAGGGTTTTCTTTTGGGGAGCCTCTACGAGCTTCGAACTCACTCTCGAGAACCTATTTTGCCCACCTAAATGTTCTTGAGTACGCCTTCTTCTACTTGTGCAAAGTGGATTTGAGCTCATTTTCATTGTTAACTCATTTTTGTTTTCTGATTTGAATCATCACTTTAAATCTCTTAAAATGATTTTGAAAAAGTTTAATCTTCACTTAAACTGTTTATTTTAGCTCCACAAGATCTGGGATCGATTTGGTTCATACATTTCGTTTTGGGGTTTTTGATTTTCTTTTCCTTATCAGTCTAGAGTAATTGATTGGTCCATCTCTCCAAGTCATTTTACTTTTTAAGTTATCATCAATGAATCACCGACTCGAATCTGGCCTGTGGTTTTGATGATTACTCTATTAAAAGATGTGTTTTTTGGTTTATCAAAAAAATCTCTTTACTTGTGTAGGGTTCATCATTGAGAGTCTACATAACTATAATGACCTTACCTTTTTGGATCTCTTTTTTTACTTCCCAAAGCTCCCTACTTTGATCATTGCATTTCTTTCTTTTACTTAATACACATTGCTCTCTTTAAAAACATCTTCTTTTTATTCACATTATTTCTAATTGTTTGCAGGGAATCGTACTCGGATGTTGTTTAGAATGAGTCCAGGATTGTTATCAAGCACTGTTGTAAAGCTTGTATATTGATAAAGTTGAGTCATTGCAATGGGATCTTTTGTGGGTGGTTGTGAAATTGTTGAGGAGAAAGATGTGGTTAGGTTAGGCAAACATTCTGGCAGATATTGTAATAAGCCAGCTTTGGGATCAAGCAGAGATATGGAGTGTCCTGCACTGAATCCAGGAGGGTGTCAAGGTTCTATGGAGTATGACATTGATCAGCTTTTCCAGTCTATAACCATAAAACCATCATCAACCAGAGGAGTGATGGGATCTTCTTTCCATCATCCCAGCAGGAGCTCAAGCCCTTGCGCTATGAAAAACCATTTTCACATGGGAACTCCTCGGTCACCAAGAGTTGGTCACTCTGATTCGATATCGCTGAAGCAGGCTTTAAGAGATCTTTGTATCTCAAAAGCATCAGAAATGGCTGCACAGAAACGGTTGTCGAAATCTGCAGCTGCATCTCCGAGGGTCTCCGAATCAGACAGGATAAAGAGTCTTTACAGACAGGTTTTGAATGAATCTGCTGGCAGGTCTGGTCTTCCTGTGGACAAGGGCAAAAGCTTGGTTGAGATATCGTTGACGCCGGTAGACGATATACCCAGTTCTTCCCAGAGCGTGCCTCAGCTGTTTGATGTTCTTGAGACAGAGCCTTCTAGCTCCATTTGTGAACCATCTCAGGATGAAATCCTTCTCCGCGTAAATGGAGACGGATTTGGATTGAAGACTGTCTCCCTGAGTGTATCCAACACATCTGGATCTTGTCTCAGTTCTGGCAATGGAGATTATAAGATAGGGATAGATGAAAATGCTACATCTCCTCCTCATGTGGTCACTGAAGATGGTTTGGTAGAAATAGACAAACATGTTACCTCGCTGCCTCCGTTTTCTGGCAGGAAAGTCAATGCTGAAGAGCTAGGCAAGAGCATCGTCTCATCAGCTAGAGTGAAAAGTGAGCCAACAGCTCTGGACGTAGGGCTAAAAGGAGAGTTGGATAGTGCATCATCTAGTTCAGGAACAGAGAACAGACAATTGGTAAGCAAGGTAACAAGAAATATCCCACGTCCCAAACCTCGGCCGAAAAAGAAGATTTTGCTCAAAAAGAAGCTGAAAATTGCTGTAGCTTCTGCTACAAAAATGGTCGAGGAAGTTGATATTTCCTTAGAGCCCAGTGCAAGTCAACTTCTGTGCCAGAGTTGCCACTGTGCGTTGAAGAGCATCAGCACTGAGAACCACCCGCCTACAAATACAGAGAAATGTTCAAGCGGTTTGAGCTCTTTCTCAAAAACTGTCAGTATAGAAGCAAATCAGGAATCACTTGCAAGTCCACGTCTCATTCGCATTGTGAAGTGTGATAAAGAGGCAAACAAGGATTCCTCGGATTCTTGTGAGGTTAGTGTTAGCAGAGAAGCTGACATTGTCATGAAACAAGATGTCTCTCCAAGTAATTACAGTGGAAATGGTGATGCGGATGAGAAGAAAAAAGAAAATCCATCTTCTAGCGAAAAGTTTGATTTCTCCTTGAGCTCAAAGGATAGCATAGGGGATTACAGTAGCAGTACAAGCATGAGTGAGGAGAGTAATCTGAGCAGGTTTAGCTGTGCCAATAAACCTCACATGTCTATGGATGTGAGATGGGAAGCAATTAAACATGTCAAGTTGCAGTATGGCTCTTTAGGACTCCGACATTTCAACCTTTTGAAAAAGCTTGGTTGTGGAGATATAGGAACAGTTTATCTTGCTGAGCTGGTTGGTACGAACTGCCTGTTTGCCATAAAGGTCATGGACAACGACTTCTTAGCCCGAAGGAAAAAGACCCCGAGGGCACAGGCAGAGCGGGCAATCCTTAAAATGTTGGATCATCCTTTTCTGCCTACCTTGTATGCTCAGTTTACTTCAGATAATTTATCGTGTCTGGTAATGGAGTATTGTCCCGGTGGAGATCTTCATGTCCTGAGGCAGAAACAGCTCAGCAGGTGTTTCTCCGAACCTGCAGCTAGGTAAGAATATTTTTCACATTCTTGTTATGAATATGTTATGCTCACAAAGTATATCTCTGATTAGCAAATTCAGTGGTAATGTAGAAAAGTAATTGATGATATTGTTGCACAGGTTCTATGTAGCAGAAATCCTCCTTGCTCTGGAGTACTTACACATGCTTGGTGTTATATACCGAGATTTGAAACCAGAGAACATTCTAGTCCGAGAAGATGGTCACATCATGCTAACAGATTTCGACCTCTCACTCAGATGTGAGGTGAACCCAACTCTTCTCAGATCAACTTCTCCGCCCGGGCAAGATCCCGCAAGAATGTCAGGTCCATACAACACTTCCAATTGCATAGAACCTCTATGCATCGAACCATCTTGTCGAGTCCCATGTTTCAGCCCTAGGCTCCCATCAATCCAAGCTAGAAACTCAAAACCAAGAAAACCGAAAAGGCCTGATCTTTTAACCCAACAGTTCAGATCATTGCCTCAGCTTGTAGCTGAACCAACAGAAGCAAGATCAAATTCTTTTGTAGGAACACACGAGTACTTGGCACCAGAGATCATTAAAGGAGAAGGACATGGTGCTGCAGTAGACTGGTGGACATTCGGTGTGCTTCTCTATGAGCTTATATACGGGAAAACACCTTTCAAAGGTTACGACAACGAGGAGACATTGTCCAATGTTATGTTTCAGAACCTCAAGTTTCCTGATAGCCCGCTTGTGAGCTTCCAGGCAAAGGATTTGATCAGAAGGTTGCTGGTGAAGGACCCTGAGAGCCGTCTCGGATCAGAGAAAGGAGCTGCAGAGATCAAGAGACATCATTTCTTTGAAGGATTGAATTGGGCTCTCATCCGATGCGCTGTACCGCCTGAGCTGCCGGATATTTATGAAAATGGTGCAACGGAAGTGACTTCTCCTGAGGGAAATAATAGGTTTCTTGAATGTAAAGCAATCGGAGATCATCTCGAGTTCGAGTTGTTTTAGAGGGTAGAGTAAGACAATAAGGTCTAAAGCAGACAGGAAATTTTTCTGGTGAAGCTATCATCTATTTCTAAGTCTCATAGGTAAAACTTGCCTATCTTTTCTTGGCTTACCAGATTGGTCCAGATTCTAAATCAATATTTTCAAAGAAGATAGATATCCTGCCTTATCGTTATCTAATTTCATTGAGCATAAGAATCCCTCTATTGTAAAAACCTCAGGCTCTTGGAGACATCTCTAGGAGAAAGTTAACACTTCACCACATCTAACACTTTACCACATCTGCAAATCAAACAATTGATGAGTG